TGTTCCAACCGGCAGCTGTTGTAAGGCACTGCGATCCTACATATGTGCTCAAAGGCAGTTCTGTCGTGTGCTTCTTTGTGGGCTTCTCTTTTGAACGCTCCGTTTCTCTCTATAACACGGTGTCTTCGATGTGAGCAGGTTCGCAAGCACATTGGGTGTATCATGATTGCGACTTTTAAGTACGTGGCAAGGAGCTAGGAGCTTATTACTAGCACTGCATATCCCGAGCATGGGGAAGGCGTGGAAAGGAACGGAAACGAAAAAAGGAACGCGAACGGAAAGGTTATTGGTGGGTGAAAGGAAGCGAGAGCAGCGAATGAGATCTGATAAGGTGAGTTAGAAGGGGAGGGTCACGAAATTATGGCGCCCTCCTATTAACAGTGGGACGTTTGATTATAAGATGTAACGTAGGCTGGGACTGCTACTGGAAACCTCTTTTGGGTTACAGGAAGTGGTAACAGCTGATAAGATCTGATAAGAGGAGTTAGAGGAGGAGAGTAGCCAGTGTTGTAGCACGCGTCGCAGAACTCTGGGGCCTTGGTTCCGGCAAGTGATATCGAGGGTGACACGGGAACATCGACGGTTGGTGAGATAAAAGTGATAAGAACAGAGAAAGGCAACCGTGAGCAGTGCAAAAAACAGAATCTGTTATACCGCTCACGAAAACAGTATTAGCGACTGGGCTCAGTTATCGTGATCTCAGTCATTGAAGCAGATCTCATTTCAAAACGCTCGACCATGTTGACATCTTATCCCACCGGTGCATTGACGTTTTCCTTTTGAATGGTAGATGTTTACAGAATTACCAGAGCAGAAGCGAATGACTTTATCACTGATACTGTAACTGTACTTCATCGACAACATGAAGAGGTACCATTCGAACCGTCCTATGGCTGCATGTGGTGGTGCATGAAGAAGTAGGACGGCTTCCGCGGAGAGAATGCACGGAGCTGTGGGCGTTCCAGCGGATAACTCAACGGATCGCTGAGAGTCTAGAAAGTGAAGACTCTGGCAGCAGACAAAGTAAAGGCTACCCAGTGGCCCATCCGAAAGCAAGCGCCATCCAAAAGAACGATCAGGTCTACCGCAGCTTGAGGAGGACGAGACCCTACTGCGCTTGCTCTTCTCTTCTGTGCCTTTTTAATGCAGAACTTGAGAAATGAAAGGGATCACTTCACCGGATGGAGTATGCAGAATGGGCGCGTAGGCGGTCCTCTCACTCCGGCTTCAGTAGATGAACGGCTGTTACAGTAGCCAGATTTTGCTTGCGCACTGTTACCGCATGGCCGTTCAAAAACGTAACGGTTGAATGCTAATCCAATATTCCGACTGCCACCAACAAAAGGTAGCGATCTCTCGCTTTTATCAAGTGTTTCTGCGGAAAACACGAAGTCTCACGTACCTTTCCAGTGTGGATAGAACAGCGACAAATCAACCGATTGCCGAGCACCACGACGACTTCATGAGTGTCTGGGTCCAGGGTTAGTTTCATATCGATTTTCACCGAGTAAATCATCTGAAATAAGCAGCCCCTCTGAAAAAATTGGAAAATTTCGTATGAAAGAACAACATACGTCTCCACGCGGATTCACAGCGAATAGCTGTGGCGAGATGAACGCCTCGGGAGTATCGAATTCGAAGAAGAGCTGCCCGCCGGAAACCACTGCTGGCGCTTCTTTCAAGTGTCGCCGTCGCCTCCTCGAGTATCTGCTCAACTCCGAGATGTCAGTAGAAGACATGAAAGCACAACCTTCCTCAGGTCGGCTGGGTTAGTAAATGAGACCTACCGAGTATACCACCCTATCGGTCGAGGGGAGCGTGTGTTTACTGGTTCTGATACGAGATAACGGATCTGATACGCGGAAGGTGATCTCGGTTCATCAGTTGAACGATGCAGAATTTCAACTATCCTGTTTCGAAGATCGGTTGTGGGGACAAGATTATGCAGACACGCCGCCAACTTGACGAGGTGAGCTTCTTTTGGTCCAATTCACTACCAGAATATCTCATCCCTAAAGTGGTTTTAGGTGATGGGCATGATGCGTTCCAATATCGAAAAACTATCTGAACGCAGCGAGAGACTGGAGGACCTGGCGTGTCGTGCTGGTTGGTTCCTTCACTACAGGAATACATGTTGTGTTGTTCTAGTGTTCTTTAGAGAAGTTTCCTGAGCGCTGTTTACCTTGGGAGAGGCCACTTTTCAGAAAGGCCCGGTCAAGTACTGCTGTTCAAGAGGAGGGCTCGGAGAGGGAAAACATCATGTTAATGTTAGAACGTTTGACGGTGATTCAATGAGAAGGCGTACATGAGCAGATATGGCTCAACCTCGCTGGTGACTGGGTGCCCCTCCCAAAGAACATAGCCCCGTTCGCTGAACTGAAACGTGCAAACGCATGGGATGTCTACTGATTATTGTGGATTTTCCGTTGAATGGAGGACTCCGTCGTTTGTGAGCGGGACAGACCTGTCTACACTATAGTTCTCTGCGGACGGTTGGGCGTGTCAGCCAGTATGAGTGTGTCACCCTATCAGAGCCGTTCTCTGCCTTCTTGTTGAAGAGCGCATGCGACAAAAAGTGGTAGAAAAGAGTAGATTTGCGAAGCATTTGATATCAGTATTGTCATTTGCCCGCTCCTAACAACGATGTAGAATGTTTTGGACCGTGCCAAAACGCAGCCGCAGCTGACACAGCCCACCCGTAGCGCACTAAGCTAAGTATACTGAGGTTGTGTAACCTATAAAGAGCCGTTCTCTGCCTTCTGTTGAAAGCGAATGCGACAACAAAAGTGGTAGAAAACGATAATACAAAGCATATGACACAGTATTGTCACTTGCCCGCTTCAACAACTGGTGGAGAACGAGTTTGGCACCGCGCCAAACGCAGCCGCACTGACACGCCCAACCGTCCGCAGCGAACTACACTAGGTGGTAACCTGAGGGGGTACAACATGATGCATCATCCCACCTAAGCCTTCGTTCATACCTTACCACATTGACGACTAGGGTTTCATGTTCAGAGGAAAGTATACATATCGATGAAACGCAGTCGACGTGAATGTATAGTCTTGTTCGCTGCGGATGAAAGGGCGTGTTAGTGGCAGTTGGCGCGGTGCCAAACTCGTTCTCCATCAGTTGTTGAAGGGAGCAAGTGGCAAGACTGTATCATATCGTTCGTATCACTCGTTTCCTATCAATTGTTATATCCGCGTCAGCGACTGGCAGAGAACGGGTTAGGCGCTGTGGCACAGTCATACTGCCTGACACGCCCCTTCATTCGCAGCGAACTAGAGTATATAACTGAAAGGAAAACTATTTTTCATGTGTTCTTCTCAAAATGTCCAATTTTTCGTAGAGGTGCTGGACATGGCGTCCAACGAGTTCCAACGTTGTGCTACTGAAGTGCGACGTAAGAAGATGTGGAAGGCGTATGCCACCAAGGCGGTTGCTATCGGTTTAGTTGGTGCTGCGCTCATTTCTACAGTTGGTGAGCGTTAGCTCACTCTTTTTGGGAACGTAGCAAGAGAATCGTAATTCGCCGCGTCAGTGGGCGTCGCGTGCGACGTCGCGCCCGCTAATGACGACGGGTATTGGTCGAGAATAGACAATGTATGACCAAAAATAGACATAAGTGTCTACCATGTCCTTGTCTAAATGCAAATCCGATGCTCCAATCGAAAGAGTAGTGCAAATGTCGCGCCCATTGCCGCGCGCGACGAAGCGGAACATTACGTTTCTCTTGCCCGTCTCCCCTATTTTTGATGTTTTGAAACTTCGTTTACACCTTTATGAAACACCATTTTTCATTTGAAATTCGGTTTTAGGCTATTTCGCTCTGTGAATCTGACAATTCTGACCAAGAGACATTACTCGATACTGATTAATGTCTGTGATCCGTTGTATGCATGCGTAAACGCATTCGATCAATCGTTGTTTTTATCCATGAAATTTACCCCCATGGTCTACTAGAAAGTCCAGACAAGCAACTAGGGAACAGTACATGCTCGTTCTCTTACAAGTCAAGTATTCTACACTACTTGTCCAAGTGGCGATGTTAGTACCACCTCCCTCTTCAACTTTCTCCTCTTGTGCGAGCCCGCGTTTTACCCGACTTTCCCAAAAGTTGTCCATAGAGCTATAAAAGTTACTTCCCAACCTGCCAACCGCGGTGCGCAGGAAACGGAAAAAATCATCGATCGTGAATTTTCCCTTCGGGCCAAATATTACAACCTCTCTCCTCCCCAGATGGGTTGGTTCAACGATGATGTACGCCGCTCCCATACAGGCGCAAGACTACTTAACCCAGTATCAGAGCGACGGTCTTCAGAACAAGAACTCCAGAAACTAAAGGTCCTAACACCTTTCAGAGCTGCATGTGAGTGACTCATTCCTAGGAATTGCGCAGCTGCTCTCCGATGACGTGGTTGCTGTAGGCCATCTTGAGCAGGTCAGCAAGCATGAACAGTTTCTTTTTGTAAGTGTTGCGGAGGGTTCCTTCTTGCTTCCTGAAGGAACATCTCACAAACCTCTCCTCCCAATGTGTTCATACTTTGGGCAGCGTCTACCAGCGTCCACTAGCGTTCCAACCGTCCGGTAGCTCAGCGACTAGAAAGTAT